AAGAGGAACGGAATCCAACAATGTTGCCTATTGCACGGGATATGTTTAATGTCCTAATTGCTGTCTGCAGTGCATCACCCACCGTGCACCTAAAATTGAAATTGTTAGTAGTGTTTTTGCAAGCAGCAATTTGCAATGTTAACACGTCAACTGCCCTTCAATAAGTGATGTCACCGACAAACTGCAATCTGCCGTAGGAACACACAAAGCACCTGGGTGCTTCAGGTTTGCATAGAAGACACTGTAAGCTGTGTGAGTAAGCTTAAAATATGTCTTTTGAAGTCTAAAAAGTATAATTTCCTTTAGGGTTTTATTGTGATGGTTTGCAGGGACTTGTGTCAAAGTTTATTTGTTATATTGAGAAGTTTATGAAACCAGAGGCTTGTCAAACTCCTTCAGTGTTTTATTATAGTCACTTGAAATACTGACCCTTAAAGTGCATTGTGCGTAGGTTGTCAAAACAACCTACACAAGTTTTATTTAGTTGATTTCACTGTAAGACTTTGTCATAGGATGCTGCACAAAGAGGCAAGAATGCAAACCAAACTTGTCAATATGTCACAAATCTTTTGTTGAGAAAGGAAGATGGCAATGAATATCAGCAATTGTAAAGACTGGCAGCAATTTGTGTATTTGCAGCTTTAAGATGGTAAGAAGATTAACATTCATATACAGCATATAAGCTTAGCAAGATGCAATCAAATATCTCATTATGGAGAAGGTAATCATGTCCCACCATCAGGTAGCCTACAGCATACAAAAAAAATGGAAGGCATCTATACTTTCGTATGGTTTCAAGTCTGCTCCAGTGTAAGAGGAAACAATATTTATAACAGAATAAACCATATGCCATGAATTCAGGCAAAGTTGGCAATTTGATCAAATCAACAAAACCATCGATCTGGAGAAGATATGGATCGATTTCTAAGCTAGCTACTTCCAACTTCTGTTAATACTGTTGTCTTTGAGCCCCAACTAGTTGTGCTACATTCACAGACAAATTAGCTTAACTTGAACAAGTAGAAGCCATGGCTATGCTAGCCACCAATCGCCGTTGCTCCTTTCAATACTCCCATCCTTCACTTCCGACGTCATGGCGCCTCAATGTGATTAAGTGACGTAGTTGCAAAGGGTCAATAAGCAAATACCTTAGCTAGAATGACGGTGGTCTAAGATCTCTGACAATCAAGACCCCTTTGAAGACTGCTCACCTCTGGCTAACTGTTAGCTTGCTTGAGATTAGCCACTAGGCTACTAGAGACAGAAAAAAGGACAAGGATTTACAAACCTTGTCCAACAGTTGCAAGTCAAAAATACAGCTAACCCTATAGCTACTTTTGTTAAATAAAATATGCCCACTTTACTTTCACTAATTTCTGCTTGTGTCCACATAGAAACATTTGCGATATCACATTGGATAAACAATATATGTCAATACAGAGTTTTTCCTTGTTATTCACCGAATATGATTTTAATTATAACTTCTTTTTGAAGACGTAATGCTAACAATTGATGGTAATCATTAAAACTGGTAATTGACATATTCCTAGAGGACATTACAATATAGCTCTCCAAAGTTAAAGTGTTCAAAGTGAAACAGTAACAGGAAGGAAAGTAGTGAAGTTCCTGAATCCAACTAGATCTGAAATCTGATTTCTCCTCCTTGTTTTTTTCCCCTTCACACTTGTTTCCTCCTCTTCTCTACTCTAATTATATGTCATAAGAATATGACTATTGGAGCTGCAGAGGTTTGGCAAACTGCAGTCCACAGCATCTTCCTTGTCTTCATCTCGGTCGCCATGGTAACTGATGCTGGGATGTTCTTGTCTCTTCCTGGTACTTTTGTCTTAAATTTCGCTTGGTCCCTGCTCAAGTCACAACCAAAAATCAAAATGGAAAAAGTGTGTCTAAGATGTGCGTACAGGTCAGCTTGACAGAGAGATAGAAACTAACAAAACCCATATTCACCATGTTAATGTGTAGTTTTAATTCTATAATTTATTATATTACAGAAAAACATAAAAATATTACGCTTTGAAAGCACTTTTTTTTCACTCCAAGTCCTAGAGTGAGAGTCCAAGTCCTACAAACAAGACTGTAGTTGAAATACTGAGTCCCATAAATCAAATTTGGTTCTATATCATATGTAAAATATGAAGCGGTAATACTTTCTATATATTTTGCATCTCAGCTGAATGTTTTAAATCTGCGCTAAAAAAACTCATCAAAAACAAATCATCACTTTCATATGCTACACAGTGATGTCAAAGAATAGTCAGATTTTTCTGTGAAGGCATTTGAAATGTGTATTCAACTTGCTGCAGCACACGGGAATGCTCTGGAGTTGTGTGTGTGTGTGTGTGTGTGTGCGTATGTGTGTGAGTGTGCATACAAGAGGAAAGAGGCAAATTCGGCTGTAGTTTAAATGTATTGACCACTCAAATCTAAACCGTTGGAACCTTCTAAGAACAGATCCCCACACCCCATTAGGACCTCCGCAGATGCACGCATGCATAATACATGGCAGCTGGATCTGAAAAGGCACAGCCCATTAGAAGGTTTCTGCCTGGGTAAGAAAGAAACAGAGAGACGAGTGGAGATAGAAAAACAGACCAACCTTCAAACAGTCAAGGCTGAGCTGGGAGCAACATATGTAAGGATGACACACCGATCAGCTTTACCACGTTCTGTTGTGTCGATGTGAGTGACAAGAAGTAAAAACAGCAGACAAGCAAACAGAATGTGTGGAAAGGCTGCCTTAGTAATAACAGGACATTTACATTCAGAAGTGTTCAAACTTAAGGACTTTGCAGAGATTAAAAAAAAAAAAAAAAAAAAGCTACTGATGGAAAATAAGTTCAATCCAATCAGTCAGATGTGATGATTGCTGGATCACGGTTTCCAGGCACACAGCCCCTCCCCCTGTTCCACCCTTCCAATGCCTGAGTGTTCTGGCCATGTAATGTGAGGTGGCAGAGAGCCCAGCAGTGCTGTAAATTATTTCTGACAGTAGGGTGGGGGACAAGAGGGAAAGACTTGCAGTCCCAAGAGACAGACGACAGGGAACGGTGCGGCGATATGGGAATCAATACCAGGAGAGAAAAGAAACTGTCGCTTTGGCCATAGGACAGAGGAACGAACATTTGCAAGTTTTATGTCTGTCAGCTATGGCTTGGCCAGCTGACCAGAGGCCTCTATGTAGGTGAACAAAGAAATTATTTAAATTCAACCTATTATGCAAAATTCCCTTTTTGTACATTTTTGTACTTCTACTTGGGTCTCTACAGCTTACAAAAACAATCCAAGTGCTAATATTTCATACTTTTTGGTGTTATAATCAGATTATGACATCACAATCAGCGTGCACTGCCCCCATTACCTAGCAACCCAAACGGAGGCTCCACCCACTTCAGTATTAGAGATGAGCATGTTTGGTCAGCTGCTTTTACCACTGTATGCGCTCTACAATGGCTGCTGGAAAAGATTATATTTTATTGTTGACATTGCGCATCTCTTTGCTGCCATTTTCACATGTATAAAGTGTAAATGGAAACACTGAGTAATGGGGTGTGGCCAGCAGCAGATTATTAGCATAAAAGAGGCAGAGCCCTAAAGCAGCTCGTTCTGAAAGGAGCTCAAGATAGGCAGAACTGAGCAGGTGAAATGTCATTATCTGAGAAGGATTTTCTTTTTTTTTAATCTAATGAAGTTGTTTTGTACACACCTGATTTTTTAAAGAAAAGTAAACATAATTGGTCCCCTTTAAGTTTATATTATGGTCTACTGGGTTTATGGCAAGATTCAAAATCTCATGTTTTATTCTCACCCTAGGCCAGTAGCCTAGACCAGCATTTTCTCTTACAGTTATACTAAGCTACGGTTGCACTGAAATTCCACGTTTAAAACAAATTAAGGAACGTCATATGTGTTTTAGTGATGCCGGACAAGGCCTTCTGCTTGCCTGGTTACGACTTGACAAATGCACAAGCTGAGTGAAAACCTTCCAAGATTTAAAGTGATGTTAGCAGAGTCATGATTTAAAGCCAATTGCATCATTTCTGCCATCTTTACTCTGAGCCGGTAAAGATGTCACGCATGCAGCAACGGTCTGCACGCTGCTCAGAGAGTAGTGCCTTTTTCTTGTTAGCTTGTGAACACTTCATCAAAGTGGCTGAATGTAAAAATACAAAAGTAAAAATATATATATATTTTTAATAAACAGTACGTTTCGCTGGAAGAGGGTCCCATTGGCTAAAATTCTGCTCGAGGCCTCAAACACCTCAGGGTCGGCCCTGCAGCTGCTGGAGATGAATAGGTGGTGTGCTTTTTTTGCTTGTTAATCATATCAGAAAGTTTAGTCGCATTGTGAGAGACTAGTGCAGGGGCGTGGGAGTAGCAGAGGGCTGTACATTCACTTGTTTTAGGATCCTGACTCTTAATACCTCTCCCCTCCACCTCCCGCCCTCCCCAAGCTCCCACCCCGTCATCCCCTCATGTTCTCCTCTGAGGCAAAGCAGCAGCAGCAGCAGTAGCAGCAACGGGGGCACACGGGGCTGCTGCAGCGATGCGTTGGGCCGTACAAGCTCAACCAACAGCAGATTTAGAACGGGATATTTCCACAGTCTACCTCAACGAATTATTTTCAACTATGCCTCCTTCCTTTCCCTTCTCTTTCCCCTCCAACAGTCAATCAAAAAAAAAAAAAAAAAAAAAAACGTGAGCACAGCCCACCGCGGAAAGTGGCTGATCGCTCCCCGTCATCCAGCCGGGAAATATCTGCAGCAGCAGCAGCAGCAACAGCAACAGTACTACCACTGTAAGGTTGCTGTTACGCAGGCTGGATGCGATCGATAAACGCAACAACCCCCCCCTCCTCCTCCTCCATCACCATCTCCTCCTCCGTCCCCCAAACACCAAATAGCTGCTCGTCTTGCCATACCAAACGAGGGGGAAGCCCTTCCTCATAAATCTGGGCTTTTCTTTACAAAGGAATCACTCACCCGATGTTGCCCAGCGCCTGCTCGAAAAGCTCCGTTTGCAGGATGTTCTGAGGTGCGGAGAAAGCCCCGTTGAAATGTGATAAAACCGAGCTACAGAACTGACGCAATGTCTCAAACTGCATTTTCCCCCTCCGTTTTCTTTATATCCTTCGGAAGGTGATCACCCTTTTTTCCCCTCTCTCAGCACCACTTCATCCCAAAGCCGAACACCCCCCAGCCCTCCACCTCCACCTCCTCCTCTGCCTCCTTCTCCTCCACGTTAACTCATGCGCTTTTTTTCTTCAGTATTTTAGTTATTATCTCCCGGGGCGCGTGGAACGCAGAAAAAAAAAAAGCACCGATCAAGTTCCATATTTCTCCTGCCGCTCCCGGTGGGAAAGTGTCCTTAAATGAGACGCAGTCGAGCTGGGGATCCTTCGGTCATAAATGGTTCAGGTCTGAAGCGACCAAAGAAAAAAAGACGTAGTTCCAATAATGCCGGTAGAAAAAAAAAAAAAAAAAAAACAAAAGAAGGAAGACAGAAAGAAAAGAGAAAGCCTTCTGTTCTTTTCGCGGCGGTGAAAATCACATCTCGGTGTGCAGAGACAGGGGGGTAAAGGAGCGGCCAGAGTGGGAAAGAAGAGGCGGGAGGAGTAGCCTGTCCTACAGGGCAAGCGGCAGCGTCCCTTACCGGCGGTCGGATCAGCTGCTGTCTCGTATTCAACTCATATTTCCCGTAGCTTTGTGAAGAGCTGGGCTACATACGCACGCGCGCGCGCACGCAAACACGAGCGGTCCCACGAACACGCGAACCAGAAGTGACAGGCTATGCAGCTCTATCGTGCGCGCGGCAGAGGATAACTCAGTGCAATAACAACGCGGCAGGGCGATACTGTCGTCAGTTTTTATATATAGACTACCATATATGGCTCCATACCGTCAGCTCTGCATCAATAATGAAGAGCTTTGTGTGGGGAAACGGTATGCACAAAAGTAGGGCTCTCCTGACATTATTATTTTTTAAGGAACTTAAATAAATCAACGAACCCCACAGACTCAAATTTTAACATAGACATAATGTATTTCGTGATGTTAAAAGGGAATAGACACTTAAGTATGCCTGAAATTATATAGAATCATCTTTGTAAAAAAATTCAAACTATGTAAATAAGTTCTGTTTACACACAGAGCATCTTTCTGAGCAGAAATGGGGGTAAAGGCAAGCTTTAAATCACAGGAGAATTTCAAGACATTGTTCATAGGGGTGGCCACACCACGCCAATGAAAATGACGAGATGGCATGGCGAAAAAAGTTCAGTTAAATTAAATAATTTTATTTATTTATTTTTTTTAATCACGGAGGTGGGCGGGGTGGCACCACTTCTTCCAAGAGTTGTGATATCAATCAGTCAGTACAATAATGTCTCTCTCAACTAATGAACACATGTATGGCCAGGAAGGAAACGTAAAATGGAAGGACAACAGATTTAGTTCAGAAAAAAAAATTGTCTTTGAAAACTACTAGATTACATTAAAATATGCAAGGAAAAAGAATGAAATAAAAAATATACTTGCTAAAGCTAATTTAATTCACACATCATATGCAAGCAGTCAGAGGTTTAAACACATTCATCATAGGAATGGATATCACAATGATGTTGGAGTAAAAGGGAGGGTATTATGCAAAATCAACTTTTTGAGCTTTATGTCATGCTGTAATGTTATTCCCTCATCAAACACACACCCAGAATGTTACTTTGATACATTCATGAATGTTTTAGAAACCTCAGCAGCAGCAGCAGTTAGCAAACACCTGGTGAAACTCTGCGTCTGCTTAGCTCCTAACAGCCATTTTAAGCAGCATCATGGAGGAACATTGTTGTGATGACGTACTGAAGGGGGCGTGTCAGAAAGCAGGAGCTTCTTAAAGTGACAGAGGCCAATTTCAAGGCATCAAACATGGCTATGATGCAAAGTCAAATTTCTTGTAAGTTATGTTTGACCTATTCAGCGTTTTCATAACAACTGAAGGTAACATACTTAATTTCTTTAAGTATTTAAAAAAAAAATTGATCCAATGGTACCAGGGAGCTGCAACAAAACCTTAAACCTAAAAGAATCAACATAACATAGAATTTAAGCTACAATTATAACGGATGGGGTGGGAAAGACAACCAGAACAGCAAGCATGGAGGGACATATGCTAACCTTTGATGACAAAATCATTGGAATAACTAAAATGAAAACAAAAATTTTATTTACTGTCCTAATAAGTCAAAAAACATTGTTACATAGTTTGCCACATTGTTTATTATTGTATCGTCATCAAGAAAATCAAAGGTCAAAAACATAATTTGTTCAAAAACCAGAACCTTTGGAAACAACCTGTTTCCAAACAACCTGATGGCATCATTTTCTGCAGAGATATTACACTCATTTTGGCTTTTTTCAATGAAAATGTGTGACTCCTTGTGTGAATTACAACAGGTTATTAGGAAATACAGGGAAGAGAGTCTTAAAATGGTGACAGATCTGAAATAAAACTACTAAAACAAGTTTGAATTTAGCTAACATCAATAGTTGAAGGAAAGGACCAAACACAAAACACTTTTAGAAGCGCTTGCTTTAGTTTTGCTGAAGATACAGATATTTTATCCTCCTTCACAGACAGCTTCACAGTCAAATATAACCACAATGATCACAGCAAAACATACAAATAAACATTTGATTTTTGTTCCATGAGAACAAAGACAAAGACAAAGATACTCCTTATCTGATTAGTTTGGTTTAATGTCCAAATGTAAACTAAGCTAAGTTTTGTGATAATTTCTTTCTTTTCACACTGGATGTTGCCTCTGACTGGGTCAAGATTTTGAATTTTGAAAGACCTTTAGTGATTAGGTTAGGAATAATCGTCGTTTGAAGAGCCTCGGCCACGTTGTCGTGCTAAATCTGTGTGCTCATTTCAAATGACACCGCCGAGAACAGGACAAATTAGGGGTCTTCCCAGGTTAGTTCTTCACATAAATAGTCTGTCAGAGTCTCTCCTCCCTTCTTTAGCAGAGCAGACCCCCTGAATTAATTTATATATTGTTTAAGATTAATGAAAGTGGGCTCCGGTGCCTATGCAGCGGGAGTTCTATTTATGGAGCTTCTGCTATCCATCACCGGACATTATCCTGTAAATTTTCAGACATCCAGCTTCCTGTTCCCTGCTACTGCAAATGTAAGCAACATTGGTGCCAGGTTTTCTCACTGGAAACAGTTCCACTCCTGAAACCCTACTATCAATTAATATGCAGTGGCGAGGCTTTAGACCAAGTCGCGTTAGCGGTCTGAGTCACTCCCTGCATCTCTCTCTCTCTCTGACTGATGCTTCACGTCTGGAGCAAAAAAAATCAGAGAAAAAGGGAAACTGGACAAAATGAAATTAGATCACCGAAGCAAAAACTATCTATGAAGAAAGACGAGACGACGAGAGATTGCTCGTAGATATTTTTATGTGTATGCAGATTCAAAATATAAACTTCTCCTTCATCCCTTCTGTGGGTTAAAAAAACAGTAGAAGCCCCTCAGTGGGCATAAATCTAACTACAGTGCAGCACACAACAATCAAGAAAGGCAAAGCAGAATCCCAAGTGCAGCATGTTTGTGGTGTCAGCATCTGAGTGTTTTACTCATTCACTGAATGAGGCAAAAGGAACAACAATCTTCTGCCTACCTGAGAATTGCTTTTTTTTTCTTTTTTTTTTAATTCCCTTAATTTCAAAGCAGTGACACTCCTAAACTGGCATACGGCCATAACAAAAATAACTTCAAGTAAATAACACCGGTTCATTTCAAGCACAAAGAAAACACAATTGATTATTACCACCCTTAATGTCCCAAAGCTCCGTCCTGACTGAATCAGACAGGCAATTATTTGTCTTGATATGCGCCGCTGAAGAGAGGGTGAGTGGGTGGATGACTGTTGTAGAAATGCTGACTTAGAGCTAGATACAGAGTATGTGCTTCTGTCTCCTTTATAGGCATCAGGGACTCTGTGTACCAGCGGTTTTATGTGGGCTCTTGCATGGCCTGCGAGGTTCAGATCACATCCCACATAAACCGACGCACAGCCATGGAGATCGGCGCTAATGCTAAAAAGCTCATCTTAGTATAATCCTCCGCTGCAACGTACAATTCTGATCTTTGAAATTATTGGATATAAATATCAACAAAGCGTTAATATCCCAAACTTTTCCGTGCCACGGTCCCCTAAACAGCGTTAGCTTCTGGCTGGGGAAGCCCTTTGCAGTTCAAAACCCCACAGACAATGCTACAAATGTATAGAAACGTCAACTTTTAGAATTTTTTCCCCTTCACTTATATTCACTATTTGATAATTATTACATTTCTTTAACATGTATGCTGCCTCCTGCTTTCTGAGGCCTTTGGATGATTCCCTCCATCTATTTTTTGTTGTTGTCAGAAACATTTTCATTTCGTGCTTGCTAGCTATAGCACTGCTAGCTAAAGGAGCAAAGCAGCTTGATAAGTTTGACTGGCAGCCAATTAGAAAGATAAGCATGCAAATAGCAAATAACATTTTATCAACTTCCTACAATTATGGCCTATATCTCACTTTCTTTTGCCAAAAGTTTTTTTTTGCCTAAATATGTTTTGCCAATAAAAAGTGGGTGATATTTTTTTTAAATAAGTCACGCACACAAGTCACTTGATGACTTGTGCCATTACATTAGGAAAGTGACCATTTCAATAAATTATTTTAACCTTTTTTATGGTGATTGAAAAACTCATTAGATTTAATGCTACAAAAAAGCATTATTAAAAACGTACAGCAAAAAAAAAACTTTTTAGAGTCGATATTTTTATTTTTGCGGTTTTTCCCCCCTCATCTTCTCTCCAACATTCTGAAACTCGCCCTCCTGCCGCCCCATGGGGCCACAGCCACCACCTCCACTTCAAAAAAAAAAAAAAAACACACACACTGGATTAGACAACATAAAGACCCCTTCAACTTCCATAAAGCATGAAATATCACAGAGGATAGATGGCAAGTTTAAAAAACAAAAAAATAATTAAAACAAAGAACTGACCTGTCTATAGGTGCATCACCGGGCTCCAAGTACCTCAGCCCCGTTCCATTGTCAAGGGACGCCTGTCTGGGCAGGAGCCCGCCGTGAGGTCTGCTTCTGTCTGACGCTGGTGTCAAGTCCCCTGAGGCTCCCTGGTGGGCATACAGGGATGGGTCGTGTAGTTTGGCCTTTTTGCCCTGCGGCCCACCCTCAAACACGCCACGCACCTGACCGGGCTCCGAGTCGTAGAACCACGCTCCCGACTTAGTGAGGATTTCTTGTTGTTTTCGGCACAAGTTGCATACCCACATAACCTGTAAGCAAGAGAAGGGCCCATTTACAAAATGACCAGGCAGAGATGTTCTTTTCTTTTTTTTTTCTTTTTATTGTGTGTTGGACTGTGATGATGTGAGTGCTTTGCAAAAGTATTGACACCATGTGAACTTCCACGTATTGTCTTGTTCAAACTACACACCAGAGTGTGTTTTTATCAAGGTTCTCTGTGACAGATCAAAGTGGCTCATTGTTGTGAAGCAGAAGAAAAGTAATACATGGGTTGTTTTGGGTTTTTTTTGACAATTAAACATCAGTACCTGTAGCGTGTGTGTGTTTATACATTCAGCCACTCATGAGTCTATATGTGTACAACCACCTTCCTCTGCTATGACAGCTGTGAGTCTTCTGTGTTATGCCCATTTTGTACAATTTTCTTAATAAAAAAAAAGA